CTTAGCTGCACGTACACCCCACAGATGCCTGCGGGGTGTACTGATGCTGCTGCCTCTACTGCAGCAACAGCTGTTGCTGCTGCTGCTGCTGCTTCTGCTTCTGCTGCAGCAACCGCGAGTATTCTTTGTACTGCAGCAGCTGCTGCTTCTACAGCAGCAGCAGCAGCAGCAGCAGCAGCAACAGAAGCAGCAGCAGCAGCAGCAGCAGCAGCAACAGAAGCAGCAGCAGCAGCAGCAGCAGCAGCAACAGAAGCAGCAGCAGCAGCAGCAGCAACAGAAGCAGCAGCAGCAGCAGCAGCAGCAACAGAAGCAGCAGCAGCAGTAACAGAAGCAGCAGCAGCAGCAGCAGCAGCAGCAACAGAAGCAGCAGCAGCAGCAGCAGCAACAGAAGCANAACAGAAGCAGCAGCAGCAGCAGCAGCAGCAGCAACAGAAGCAGCAGCAGCAGCAGCAGCAACAGAAGCAGCAGCAGCAGCAGCATTGAGCGTACCCTGGGGTCCCTCTTGTATAGCTGCAGTACATACTCCTGCATGTCGTCTAGGCTGTATACACACACCACAAAACCCTAAACCCTAAACCCTAAACCCTCAACCATAAACCCTAAACCCTAAACCCTAAACCCTGCATAGTATATGCATTAAACCCTAGCCGAAAGCTCGCGGCAATTTCGCCCGTACTACTCTGCTGGCTATATATTTAGGGTTTAGGGTTTAGGGTTTAGGGGGGTTTTGCTGCGGCTGTATTGTGTAGATGGCTATCACAGACCCTGGAGCTGCATCTCTAGGGTTTAGGGTTTAGGGTTTACGCACGAGCTAAACCCTAAAAAAAAAGGATAAGGGTTTTCTTTTTCTAGAGTGTTTAATATTAAGGGTTTAGGGTTTAGGGTTTAGGGTTTACGCACGAGCTAAACCCTAAAAAAAAAGGATAAGGGTTTTCTTTCTCTAGAGGGTTTACAACAAACACAGAGAAGTCCTCCATCTCCCCACACCTCCTCGCGAACAACCCCACCACTCTCGCCGCTTGTAACACACAGTAAACCCCGCCCCCGGGGCCCCCCTGCTGCTGCAGTGGTATTGCTGCTGCTGCTGCTGCTGCTGCTGTAAAGGCCGCTAAAGTCTCCTAATACATCTTCTGGGTGACTGCCTTCAACTCGACGAGAAAAAAGGAGACACCTAAATTCTGCTGTCTCCTTTATTGCTGCTGCTATATCCACTGCTGCTTTTTGCTTTTCTCCCGCCAGCAACAAACCCAACACCATCTTGCTGCTCATCTTCTCGTTATTCTCTACACATACACACCACCTGCATGCAGCCCAAGCAGCCTGGCAGACAGAGAGAGAGGGGGGGCCCCCAAGGGGCCCCCATGTTTATACGCCAACGAACAAGGTGAGATAAGTCTCCTACATATCTATCTGTAGGCGTGGTGCGTGCTGTGCTGCTGCTGCTGCTGCTGCTGTTGCTGCTGCTGCTGGAGATAGAGTATGTCTGCGCTCTTGTGGGGCCCTTTGCTGCTGCTGCTGCTGCAGCAGCAGCAGCAGCAGCAGCAGCAGCAGGAGCTGCAGCAGCAGATGAAGGAGCATATCTGCCTTTTTGTCTGCTTGCGCAGCAATGTCTGAAGTGTTTAAGGAGACTGTGTATAATGTTGGTGTCTCCATCTGTCTCCTTTTCTCTTTCTGCTGTCTCCTTTTCCTTTATTTGTCTCCTTTTCTCTTCTCTTCTCTCGTGTATATCTCTTATAAAAAAAGAATCAACTGAACCCCCACCAGAAACGGAGACTGTCTCCTCGTACCCCCCAACCACTGCTGCACCCAGGCTAGATACAGACATCCTCCTGCTGCTGCTCCTGCTGCTGCTGCTGCTGATGCTGATGCTGCTGCTGATGCTGCTGCTGCTGCTGATGATGATGATGATGCTGCTGCTGCTGCTGCTGAGGCTGATGCTGATGATGATGATATTGGTAACGCTGCTGCTGTTGTTGTTGTTGCTGCTGCTGCTGCTGCTGTTGCTGCTGCTGCTGCTGCTGTTGACGATGGTGATGCCTGCTGTTGCTCCTCCTAGTGCAGCAGCAGCAGCTGGCGCTGCTGCTGCCGCTGCTGCTGCTGTTGCTGCTACTGCTACTTCAGCTGCTACTGCTTCTGCTGATCCTACTGCTGCTGC